AAGAGCAACGAGGCTGGTGAAGGGACTTGAGCACAAGTCCTATGAGGAGAGGCTGAGGGAGCTGGGGTTGTTTAGTCTGGAGAAGAGAAGGCTTAGAGGTGACCTCATCACTCTCTTCAACTACCTGAAGGGAGGTTATAGCCAGGTGGGGGTTGGTCTCTTCTCCCAGGCAATCAACAATAGGACAAGGGGACATGGGCTCAAGCTCTGCCAGGGGATGTTTAGGTTAGATGTCTCTTTACAGAGAGGGTAATCAGGCATTGGAACGGCCTACCCAGAGAGGTGGTGGATTCACCATCCCTGGGGGTTTTTAAAAAGAAATTGGATGTGGCCCTTAGTGCCATGATATAGTAATTGGAGTTGGATCAGGGGTTGGACTTGATGATCTTGGAGGTCTTTTCCAACCCAGTCTATGATTCTATGATTAAATGATTCTATGATTAAAATGCACTGATAAATACACTTTACAAAGGAAGGAGGAAGGTAGCTAAGCTCTCTAGGGATCTCTGTTTGAGTCTCACCCATTTACTACCCCACACATATATCTAAATTTTTACTCAATTTAGCACCAAAGTTAGCTCACCAGCCCCGTAAGCATACACCCCTTCTTACTCCCTACTTACCGACGTAACAATTTTAAAAGAGGAATGCCTTGTTTCCATAATTCTCCCCTCTGTATAAATACTATTTGTGGTATTTGTTAAGTTGCAACTTGTTCTTCTGTTTGCACAGCAAAATATTTATGCCATAAAATAACTGAAGCCACCTATGCTAGATACCATACAGGAATGCTAAGAAATAGTCAACCCTAGGTCCTGTCTCCTGTCCTCACTATGGTTTCTCCATCTGTAAAATAAGGAAAAGATATTCAGTTCCTTTGCGAAATACTTTCCAATCTGCAGATGGGTATCTCTACACAAGAAATAGGTATTTTTTTATTGTAACTGATATTACTAATATTGTGTAAAATCTACGTTTTGGGGAACCAGCCTACACACAAAACTTTTGCTAATATAGACACCCTTTTAGAGATGCAGGTAAGTATAAATAAACATTTGTTTTAATATATCCTTTTACAGCACAGTCCATCCAAGCAGCTGTACGGTAAGCGAGTATTTGACAAATGGAGCTTACAGCACCTTTTGAGACTCTAATAGGAGGGAGGATTCTGGATGTGGGATGAACAACATTAGACAGTCTAAAAAGAAACGTCTAAAAATTTGAAACCTTAGAAAAATGTTTATGATAATCTGAATAATGCCTGCAACACATATATACTTCTTCATCGTACTCATGTTCCCTGACATCACTCTTGGCCTTAAGAACTGAAAATGAAAAAAAAAGTTTCCAGATTTCCATAGATAATGTTGCTTTCTAGTAGACCTCAGTTTAACTGGAGTTGAAACATTCCAGGAAAACTCTTTTTATGTCTTTTTCCATTGTTCAGATGTCAAAACTCTTTATTTAGTTCCACCTACCTTTTACTAGAAGTAATCTGTGTTTTCATGTCTGACTTGCACAATAAAATACTGCATGCTCCAGCAGTGAAATGAGTAATATTAATCTCTACAGCAGAGTATAAAACAAAGCTGTAGTATCTCTTTGTATGACTGCTAATTTTGAATATTTATTCATTTTAACATATTGTCATTCTTCAGGTTGTGAGCATCTTCCATAATACATTTTCTTATTATTTTTAGTTTTAATATTTTGCTTTGGTGTCTTGATTTTACCTCTTTGGACTAAAGAAATGAAGTATTACTTTGGTTATAAACAATTTTTGTTCCACTCTCTTGCCTAATTCTTTCCACCAAGTTGACACTAATCCATGGACAGTGCACATGGAAGTGTGGGCCACCAAATCAGTGAATAAAAGAAAAACAATCCATACACTTTACTGGAACTGGAGGCTATAAATGCTATAAGGACACAGCTGTGGCTTTGTTGCAGGTTTCAAGTAGCTGGCTACTTTGAAGGTATGCTCCCTCAGTATCACATCTGAAACCAAAATATAAATCAAAATACTGTAATTCAATCACTAGGTTTCCTCTATTCCACCTCTTCAAAGATGTCAAAACCACCACTCTTGCCTTAAGCATTTTTCATGCCATTCTATAAATTTGCTGAACATACTTTTGTCTAAAAGCACATAAACTGTTCTCTCTAAATCAAATGACAAACTATAAATAACATTAAACTTCATTCCAGATTCAGATTCAACTGCAGATTCAGATGGCAGTTAAATTTAGATTTATTTCATTACATGCTTTGGATTAACATGATTGACATGCTGTGTTCTTTATGCAGATCAAGAAGAGTTTTTTCCATTTGAGAACACAGTATTTCTGACTGGGGAGGTGAAGAACCTGCAGCAAAAAACACAATACAATTCAAGCATTTCCTGTACGAATTACCTGTGAACAATAAGATAATAACAGACTTGTTTGTTGTTTCAGATATTAGCTGCTTGGTTGTTTATAAAATTACAGATTTCACTGGTATTCTACATCCTTCTAATATTTCTTCACTAGAATGATTTTATTATTGGTTGGTAGACAAACACTCATGGAATCATTTCTGGATGGACACCTATTCTACAGAAATGATTTTAGCAAGCTTCATTAATATTCTGGAACATATTCTGGGGAAAAATTAAACTGATATGAATCTGCACATTACTGTAATTTTTCAGAATTTTTCTGATGAAAGACCAAAAATACATTTCATGTGCCTGATCAAGTAAGTAGTGTTTCACGAAAAATATAAAAACTACCTTCAAAATTATTATCTGCTGCATATTTTATGATAATTGTTTCACTCAAGGCTGCATGGAAAAATAGCATTCCCCTGCCATCTAGTTTACTAGTGGACTATGAAGTAAAGTTTGACAACAAACCTAAACAGAGAACATATAGTCCAAAGCTGCTCTACAGGAGACTAACACATATTGTATAAAATTACTGCAGGAATTCAGCCAGTAAAGCTGGGTTGCCTGCAGCTTCTAAACACAAGTGAAAAACAATAAAAGCCAGGCAGAATTAAAGAGAAGAATGAGAAAAGTATGCATCTTCCTTTTATGTTCCGAAGTACAACAAATACCAACAGAAGGGTGGGGATGTCCTCCAGTAAACTTTGCCTCACTAACATTTTAGAAAATGAACAGTAGTGACAAGAGTTAGCAGAATTTGTGTCCTCCGGCAATATAAAATCAGTAATTTACACCTACTGACTTAGTTTACCTCAGTAGTCAGAGATTATACTTTTATGTGTTATAATAAGTGTAAGTAAGTCACAGGTGTGTGTTTTGGGCACCATTCTGATGCAAAAGTTTTACAGAATTTTATATTCTTGTAGGAGGCCTTGGAAGCTTGGCTATAAATGGATGAAAAAATGAGCAAGCAAGGTACGTAAAAAGAGGAAGTTGATCTTTATTAGACTAAGTAATAGAGTTGAAAAAACCAGACAAGTCTTATCTTTGTGTTTACTTTTTTGAAATTATTTTCATAGAACTATATCTGTTTCACACTATTAAAATTGATTATTTTCCCCTGGTAGTTTCTCTTTTAAACAACTGGGCTTTTTCTGAGATCTTGCTTTCAAAATTAAATTAATTAAGGTTCCAAAAGTCTCTCAGACAGAACTAGTTGTGGAAAGTTTTGCCTGCATTTGAATTCTCCAAATTTCTCTTCGGAAAACTATTAGTACTGGCAAGTCAGAGCATGCCTCCTATTTAAGTCCTGACTTTTTCAACTGTAACTTCACTGCAGTATTCTGCAAATTTCTGTGCAACATCAGCCATATGTTTTTTTCCCTTAAAAATTTCACATTTAAGATTTTCATTTCAGCAGCAGGAAAGTACCTGAGACAGAACCAATGTCCATATGTAGCACTGGCACTTGATATTATATTCAGATTAGTGTAAATGTTAGGGGCAGCTTCCCTATTATCAATGGCATTTAATTCTGAGAGTGGTACCTCTTGTTCCTGGCATAGTACAATGATTTGTGGTTCCTTTTAAAACTCTTCCATGCAGACATACTTTGCATTTTTTCTGGTAAAGTAAGTGCAAGAATCCACAAAGAGGATTGCCTGGTTTACACAGCTCTTCCATTCCACAAAGGCTATCCAAAGTGAGCACAGATCTCCTCCAGCCCCAGCAGGTCAGGAAGCAGTGAGAGGATGCATTGTGTCTGAATGCTTTCAGGTGAAGTTGTGATCCCTTGTAATTGATTGTGTTAGAGGTTTTCTTGGATTTAACTGAACACTGCTTGTTTCATAATAAAGGTATACTAAAAATTATACATTACATCTTTCATGTAATAAAAACTTGGATGTGAAGTGCAGCTACACGACCATGAAAATGCCAGACCTTTTTAACAAGTTTATGTATTGATAAAAAATGCAGCTTCTAAATGAATTTCAGAATGCCTAGGAAGAGAGAAAAAAAATTGGAAATATTATCCATGGAAGCATATGGGCCTATGAAACCTGTTACACAGCAAAAATGAAGAGCAAAACCATGAAGCAGGTTCTAATAAATATTATTTTTCCCTGTGCACTGATGCATTGCAAACAGGCCTGAATGTAATCCCAGAAAAAGGCAACCACAGAAAGCATGGGGGGCCTGTACAATGACTACAGTTTTGACTGTACCACAATGAAGTGAGATCTATTACTTGTAACTGAATCCTGACACTTAAATGGAAACCTCTATTTATTTTTATATGTCACTTAAGGATGGTGCGCATCATATTTTTGGGTGTTTTTTTGTAAATGCTTCCTTCACTCTCTGGTAGTGACAGGAACTGCCCAGAGGGTTGCTGTTTGTATGCTCTACCTCTTTCACCTTTTGGTCACATAATTTATGTGTTTACAATTACTATGACAACGCTGACTGCTATAGCAACACTTAATAAACTGACACCAGAAAAGATAAAAGAAATAAAAAGAGAAAAGGAACCAAAGAAAGCACATCTTGCAAGAAACTGCAGGAAGATAAAACATTTTTACATCAGCTCACTTGTTGCAGGACCAGATTCCATTCCCCTTTCTCATTCAGTGAGTTAAGGCAGAACACTGATTAAGCAGAAAAAAACCTAACAGAAAGAATCAGACAATCCCAATTTACCCCATGAGGTTAAGTTTCCCACTTCCACAGAGATCTTTTTTAATTCTCACTGTACTGCTGACAAAAGAGAGCTTCTTTTAATGGACTTTAAAATCAGCCATCATCACTGTTTTTACAAGTTACATAAATCATTCAAGTCGTAAGTACCAGATAATTCTTAGCCTATTTGGTTTCAAAGAATTCTTGTACAAGCACTCTAATGAGCTGGGCAAACATTTTGAAGAGGGAAGACTGAGATACAGAAAAAGTAAAATATCAGACACTTGACAGTGTAATGAACTGCAGTTGAGAGGAAAGGCATGATATCACCTTATGCTTGCTCCTAACCATGGCAAGTGTGAATTAAAAGCATGGTCTTATATTTAGAAATGCTCTATGAGAGACATCATGCTATCTTAAATTCTAATTTAAAAGCCATGGAAACAAAATCTATTACAGGAATATTTCATCACTACTGTATTCAGTCTCATAAGATTCAAAACAACCTGTATACATTGTTTTTGTTCATATAATAAACAGTTACCAGCATGGTCAAATTTATAAATGTTCTAAGTTTCAATTTAAGTGTCAAATTAAATTCCAGCTCACAGGGCAGAAGATGCTATTCTCCTCATTTAAAAAATTGGCAGCTCTTAGTGGGCTGTGTCTGTTGCTTGTATTGAAGACTTTTCAACCTAAATATGTATTGCTGACTTTCGGTACATTAGGTAGAAGTGGTAAACCTTCCCAAAAAAGGTCAACACCCTTACTAAGTTATCTTTGCAGAAATCCTAACTGAAGAAGTGAAGGGTGCAGATTAAATCTGAGTAAGAAGACAGTTTGAGGACAGGGCAACACAGGATAACTGGAAGGCTTCTGAGAGCACACAGTATCTCTGTGAACATCTTAAGGGTGTCCTGAGGTAATGGGATACTTCAGCTGCCTGCATGGGCAAGTATTTTGTAATGCTTAAAAGGTAGGCTGTAATACATGAAAGGGAAATCTTTAGGTGAGTAGACCAGAGGTTCTTAAACATCAGTGTGAAAGCAGGGAGACCACATAAACTCTGAAACTCTCTCCCAGAGAGCTAGCAATTTATGATCTCTCTTTGAAACAAACACTGTTTTTAATCCGGCAAACAGAAGACAAAATAAGTAGTAACTTATTTTCTTCTCATAACCATTTTCAATAAATCTCTCTCTGGCCTGCAGAATAAGCAGCACAGGAATATCACAAAACTATTTCTAGAAGTAATGTATGCAACTATTAAGAATGCCTGTTTTGTTAATGTATTATTTCCACGGTTCAACCCCAGTCTACTACTTTGATATATTTTAGCTGCATTAATAAGATAACCACCACCCCTAAATACACACACTGCAATGTTCTCAAAGGAAAGTTTGTGTCTTTCCAGCATAATGCCATTTCTGCCTTTTAGAAACTCTCATAAAACAAAAAAACATGTTGTTATGTAATACTTGACATTAACTCCAGGAAGACAAGACATCAGTGGGCAAAATCATAACTGAAATTGGGAAAGTACTCATGACAGAATTGATTCCAACATAGTGCAAAAGAAAGACAGCGAAGGCAGTTGTTACTGCGCACCTTCTGCCTCTGAACAGTTGTTATGCCCATATTGTTTCCTATCAATAACTACCAGTGGCAAATACAGTTGCAAATCTTTCATCTTCACATCAGTAAGATAATTTTCCAGGGGGTGCTGGTATGAAAGGGAAAACCCTGCTCATTATACCCAGGTTTTCAGAATGCTTAACGCAATTAACAATGCAGGTGAGAGTTAATTACACCACATTTGGTGATTTTTATATTAGTATCTTCGTGAACAGGAGTCTAAATGCAGGATTTATGTCTAAGACTCATGGAAGCAATTTATTCCACATAGATTTATAAAATGCCGTTAGTAAACAAACAAACCAACAAAAACCTAATTGCGTAAGTAATATATTCAGCAAGGAAAATCAGATAATCTTTTCTATATATTATGTATAAAGACAGTATTGTATCAGATGATGCCACATTCTGGTATCAGTTAGCATTGTTCCAACACATGGGCTTATTTCAAGAACTCTTGTCTGAAAAACATCTTTAAGTGGTGTCAGGTTTGAGCTGACATGATACAAGTTGCCTGAATTCACAGACAAAAGTAATGACACAGAAATATTCCATTCCTTTTCTCCACTGCTCTCCCCCCAATAAAATAAGTCACTAAACCTTTCAGATATTTTCTGCAGTCTTTCCTGAGTTGTCTTCTAATATCATTCATCAGATGAGA